AGGAAGATGGACCTGCTGCTTCCCGGCCATCACCCTGTGCTGGTAGACTTGTCAAGGGAAGAAAGCTTACCTAGCATTGTGACCAGCTTCTCGCTAAGGAGGAGGCTAAGAAAATTAGGTAACTAGAGGGATAGCCAGGCCACCTGAGTTACTCAGGAGGTACAGGCCCAGTTTCCTTACGCGGAGTCATTCACATGCTTGCCGATAAAGCAGTTCTCAATGCGTTATTCTAGTCACGGACCATGTGGGTCTGATTCTGCCTGCTGGCTATGTTCCCATCCTGGGGAGATGCCGGGGGTGGCTCGTTCACATGACCTTTCTGCTGGGCAGCACTGAGGCCTGCTCTGTGGGGTGGCTGGGCTCACTTTATTTCCCAGCCCATCTCATAGAACATCTGGAATCTAAGAATCTTCTCAAAACTCCATAAGCCTGGTAATCTCTTTGTCTAATTCACCATTTTTCTTCATTTCTTGATGCCAGCTATATTGCAGAGATAGGTTTAACTCTGTTTATTTCTTTCACTGTTCTTTTTCATGCTGGGATTGATTTCTGCTTTGATCTAATTCCTTCTTTAACTCTTGTTTCTCATCTTCTAAATTCATACTAAAACGTGATTCACCCTCTACTGAAGCCTCTGTCATAAATAGTTTTTTGGGGGTGTCAGCCAGTTTTCTTTGAAGTCTAACAACTGTATCTTCTGTCTTTTGACACTGTGTTTGGCTTAAGTCTCTTTCTACACCTTCTAAATCCAAAGTTCTTTCTCTGAGAGCATCTTTTGTGTGATGAAGCTCAATTTCTAAGCTATTGAATTTACTTTCTCCTGCTTTAGAAAGTTATTAAGAATCTCATTATGCCCTGACCAGTTTGGCTCAGTGGATAGAGCATCGGCCTGTGGACTGAAGGGTCCCAGGTTTCGATTCCAGTCAAGGACATGTACCTTGGTTGCGGGCACATCCCCAGTAGGGGGTGTGCAGGAGGCAGCTGATTGATGTGTCTCTCTCGTCAATGTGTCTAACTCTCTATCCCTCTCCCTTCCTCTCTGTAAAAAATTCAATAAAGTATATTAAAAAAAAGAATCTCATTATTATATTTGAGGTCTCTCTTTATCCTTTTCATACTGATATATTCTTTTAAATTATACCATTCATTGATTAACTCCTTATTTCTTTCATTCAGCATGTTAGAAATAAGGCGAGCCCCAGAGTTAAGGGGTCCTGGTAGAACACAAAGGATGCTTAGGGGTCAGACAGCAAAGCAATATCTTTACTTCTGCAGAAGGGTGTGCAACCAACAAAGAGTCTGGTAAGCAAAGACTTCCCACTCAGATTTAATCCCTGGCACAGTCTGCCCCTCACCCTGATTGCTTAAGGCTCGAGTTCACATTCTTGCACGATTGGCTAATTCAAAGGAGGGTGGGGGAGGTTAGATATTTAGGAAACCAAAACTTAAAATGGTGGCCTCCTAGGAAATTGCAAGTCATGCAACTTAGAATGGCACCCGAGAGAATCATTGATTGGCTGCCTCCTGCACGCCCCCAGTGGGGAGATCGAGCCTACAATCCAGGCATGTGCCCCTGACTGGAATAGAACCTGGGACCCTTCAGTCTGTGGGCCGGCGCTCTATGCACTGAGCCAAACCGGCTAGGGCTCAAAATGACTGCTCTTAAGCTAAGGAATATCCTCCTTTGACAAAAAAGATTACAGGTTGATTCTCATAATTCTCACAAGCATAAGACCTTGCTTTTCACTTTTGACTTTATTATTTTTATGATGTTCCTAAACTGATTTTGAATATTAATTACTGTCTTTCCTTTCCACCAGCTTTGTTGTGAGCATGACCCAGGTGTTGCAAAAGCAACGTATTTTCACTTAGTAGGTGAGATTGCCTCTCCTGTAAGGATTCCTGCTATCCAATGTCTTTATTCACTTTACCTTGCCTTTTGATACACGTGTTCAGTTGCCTTCTTTTGACACGGTATTTGCCTTAGGTCTGTTTCTACACCTTCTAAAACCTAAGTCCTTTCTCTGAGAGCATCTCTTGTGTGATGAAGTTCAATTTCTAAGCTATTGAATTTACTTTTTTCTGCTTTAGAACGTTGTTGAGAAAGAATCTCATTGTTATACTAGAGGCCCAGTGCACAGATTCGTATACCCATGGGGTCCCTTGGCCTGGCCTGCGGGGATCAGGCCAAAACCAATCTGTGGTTCCCGGGTGCAGGTGAAGCAGATTCAGGGCCAACACTGCCCCAGCAGCAACCTACCCCATGGCCAGTTCCATGAGGAATCGGGCTCCCTCCTCACTCTTCCCTCCTCTCTGGGTCTGGGGCGGGGGTGAAGCAGATCGTTACTATATTTTAGGTTAGGCCTTCATTTTGTCCCATAAACAAAACCATTCATCTTTTTCTGTTTAGCAAATTGTGGGTGTCTTTTTGGTGTCTGACATTGCTCATTATCCTATAGCAATAGCCAATCTAGACCAGTATGATTCAACTTCTGCTTCCAGTCTTTCTCTGTTTTTTTTTTTTCATTCTCCATTTGGAGTTTAGCATTATATTCTCAGTTGTCAGAACTTCAAGCTGTCCGTTACAGTATATTATAATATTTTTGTTAATGTATCCTCATTCAGTTGTATTGTTTTTTGAAGATGGTCATCTTTTTCTTTGACAGTTGTGGTCTTGCTGCAGGCTGCACAGGGAACTTGTGTCTTCCTTCTACCTCTGTCATTGCACATTCTTCCATGGCTACATGGATTTTCTCTGGGTACTTTGGTTTTCTCCCACATCCCCAAGAGCTGCACTTGAGGTGAACTGGCATCTAAATTGTTCCAGTCTGAGTGGATGTGGGTATGAGTGCACCCTGCAATGGGAAGGTGTCCTGTCCTGTACAGGGCGAATGCCTACCTTTTGCCCTGAGCTACTGGAATAGGCTCTGGCCTCCTGTGTCCCTGAACTGGAATAAGCAGGCTAGAAAATAATGATTTCACTTTTTTATTAATCTTTCTTAAATGTATGTATAGTTCATATTTATTTCATTGTTTAATATTAGAAGTGTTTGGGGTCTTTACTTAGAAGTTTGGTGATGTGGTTGTGACCAGAAATATGCTGTAGGAACTTAACTCTTGTTTATATCAATTAGCCTGTGGTAAAATGGTTTTATCAGATGCTGTCATTTCAACTTAAAGTTTTCAAGAACATATCAATGATGTTTAGTGTAAGGACTTACTGTATATACTATGTGTTTTCCTATACCTACATACCTATGATAAAGTTTAATTTATAAATTTAGGTATAGTAAGACATTAACAACAGTCTTATGTAATAAAAGCCCAGCAACCAAACGGCAGAACGACCAGTTGACCAGTTGCTATGACTGACCATCGGGGGGCAGACGCTCAACGCAGGAGCTTCCACCTGGTGGTCAGTGCACTCCCACGGTGGGAGTGCCGCTTGGCTGACTAGAATGAGCAGCTGCTCAGAGGGTGGGTCTGCAGCCCAGAGGGCGGGTCCAGAGCCACTTGGCTGACCAGGATGAGCAGCACTCCCACAGCGGGTCGATCCCTGCAGGCCATGCCCCTACAAGTGTATGAATCTCATGCGCCGGCCTCTAGTAATATAATAAAATAGGACAACTATAACAGTACTTGTGTCCTGGTGCATGACATACAGGAGTTTTCGATAAAAACCTGCCCAATGAGATCTGTTTCATCCTCCCTTTCAGAATATTTCTGAAATGAGTTAGGCAAGTGTCATTAAATAGCTCCATCGCATGCCCAGTTGCAATTTTTTCTGGGTGTTTCTTTTAAGTAAAGTCTCAAAGTTTCTCCCACATTCCCAACATTTCCTTTATCTCACTTACAGAGTTAACCTCCTCCTCCTCCTGCTTAACCTCCTCCTCCTCTGTGTCATTTATTTCCTGCAAAACCTCTGTGTGCTGCTGCATCTGTAGCTCCTTTAGCTCCTGCGTTGTCAGTTCCTTGGAGTGCTCCTCGATGAGCTTGTTGATGTCACCTTCCTCCATGTCCAGGCCCATGGACTTGCCGAGGGATACAATCTCCTCCACCAGTGGCGCTTCGGGTTCGAGTCTTTCAAAATCCATTTCAGACACTACCTTAGGCCACAGCTTCTTCTACGCAGAAGTCAAGGTCCTCTTTGTAACACCCTGCCAGGCCATATCGATAATTCTGAGGCATATCACGATGTTATAGTGGTCCTTCCAGAACTCTCGAAGGGTGAGGTTTGTGCTCTCCGTCACCTCAAAGCAGTGGCGGAACAGGTGCTTGGTGAAGAGCTTCTTGAAATTAGAAATCACCTGCTGGTCCATTGGCTGCAGGATAGGGGTGGTGTTAGGTGGAAGGTAGAGAACCTTTATAAACTTGAACTCTTCGAGG